GGGCTCGGGCACGCGGAGCGGGGCGCGCCGGGCGCGATGTGGCCCGAGGCCCGGGGCTTGGGAGGAGGTATCGCGGAGCTGAGGGGCTCCACCCGGCGGGAAGGTGGCTCGAAGCAAAGGAGAGGGGACCGGGGAGCGGGCGCGGGAGGGTCCTCCGTGGGGCTCAGGTACTGCCGGGGTAGGGCAGGGAGACCGAGCGGGAAAGCGAGAAGCGGCGAGGAACCGCAGCGCGCGAAGGCGAGGAGCCGGGATTTGTGCGAAGGCTGGATGAAAAGTCGGGGGCCTGGGTGGGGAGACCTGGAGGCAGCGAGCAGAGCGCTGGAGAAGAAACAGGGCGGAGGGAGAAGTGCTGTCAGAACAGTTAAGGGTAGGGAATTTGGGGAGAAAGACTGGAAGGGAGAGCCCGGCGTGGGGGCGCACGCCTGTAATCCCAACACTTGGGAGGCTGAGGCAGGAGGATCGTTGCGAGTTCGAGGCCAGCCTGGTGTACAAAGTAAGCTCAAGGCCAGCCTGAATTGCAGAGCGAGACCCTGTCTCAAAAAGACAAAAAAAAAAAAAACCTGGGAGGGAAGAGATTCATTGCCTATTAGTTCTAAAAAAGAAATACAGCCGGTGGTGGTGGCGGCTATAATCCCAGCCCTTGGGAGGCTGAGGCAGGAGGATCATCAAGAGTTCAAGACCAGCCCGGACTACAAAAACAAAAACAAATACGACCGAGGAAGCCCAGGGTCAGCCATTCCTATGGGAGCTATGTACCAACTTGGGGACCAGGCCCCCTGCTCCCTGAATACTAAAACAGCCCACCCACATACCTCGGCACACAGATCCATCCCTGGATGGTTAGTTTGTTCTGTCCCCCTTCCTGTACTGGGAATTGAACCTCAGGCATTAGCACTGAGTTATATCCCTAGCCCTTTTAAATTTTTTTTCAGGCAGTGATTTGCTAGATTGTCCAGGCTATGCTTGAGTTTGTGATCCTTCAGCCTCAGCCTCCCACAGTACTTGGATTACAGGCCCTGCACCACCATATCAGACTTCAGTTATTTCGGATTTTTTTTTGTTTTTGTGGTTTTTTTGGAGATGGACTCTCGCTTCGTAATTTAGGCTGGCCTCCAATTTGTGGCAATCCTGCCTCAGCCTTCCCTCTGAGTCCTGGAGTTACAGGTGTGTACCACAGCACCCAGTTGACTTATTTCCTTACTCCTTGTCTACTAGCGTTATAGATTGTCGCTTTTTATTTATTTTTAACTTTTTGGTTTTTTGTGACGGTCTCGCTATGTAGTTCAGTCTGGCCTTGAACTCACTGTGTAGTACAGGCTGCCCTCAAACTCCTGGTGATCCTCCTGCCTCAGCCTCTCAAGTGCTGGGATTATAAGCATGGGACACCACACCCAGCCTTTATTCTCAATTTTTAAATTTTCTGTGGGTTTCACTATGTTGTTTTGTTTAGTTAAATCATAACTAGTCCTGTCTGAGGGGTAGTGAAATGTTAAACGAAATTGGGCCTTTAGATAGGAAAGATGTTCCAGAGGTAGGGTACCCTTCCAAAGTCAATAATTTACCAATCTAGCTGGGCATGGTGGTCAATACCTATAATCCCAACTCTGAGGGGGACAGGGGAGCCAAGGAAAGAGGGTCACTTTGAGTTTGAGGCCAGCCCGGGCTATAATAGTCAGTTCAAAGCCAGCCTGAGAGCCTGTCTCAAAAAAAATATTAAACAGCTGGGCATCGAGGTGCATTCTTGTAATCCCAGCACACCAGAGGCTGAGGCAGGAGGACCACCATGAGTTTGAGGCCAGCATGGGCTACATAAGTGAGTTCAAGTCCAGCCTGAACTACATAGCAAGACCTTATCTCAAAAAAAAAAAAATTAACCAACTCTACTTCCAGGAAGATTTGATAGTTGGTCAAGCCTTGTACTTTTTTTTTTTTTTGAGACAAGGTCTTGCTAAATTAAAGCTGGACTTGAACTCACTTGTAGTCCCAGCTCAGACTCACAGCGACCCTCCTGCCTCAGCCTCCCAAGCTTTGGTATCACAGACCTGCACCACTATGCCCAGCAAGCTTTGCACAGTTTTGCCTCATTCCCATCTCCCGGAGTTGAAATTGCCTACTGTTGTGACTCTTACCCGCTTACCTGTCTAGTAAGTCCTGTTCTCCCACCTTCCCAGAATGAGCGCTCAAAGCATCCGTGATGAGTGAGGCACGTCCCTGCCTGCTCATGTCAGCGCTAGGCTTTCGTTCCCGTGCCAGCCAGATGACCTTTGAGGCCTGGCTATCTCCCCTACTGACATTTGCAAACTTTCCCTGGGTTAAAGGTAAATGTCTGTATCTAAGCATGAAAAGCAAGTGTCTGACTGCCTCAGATATTTCCACTTCAGGTAGCTCAGGTCTGAGGGTGAGGCCAGGTAAAAGGCACAGAGGACAATGGCGGAAAGCGCAGGCTGGTACGGGAGGCGTGTTTGCAGCTCCTCGCTCGTAACCCCTCACCGCTGCACCGGGCGCATCTGACCTGGTGGTGTTGGCTTCAGGCTTCTCTGTAACAGCCATTGCCAGAATCCAGACCAGCCCTTGAGTCAGATGAACACTCAAATGAGTAGCTCCTGTGATAAAAATAGAGTCTGAGAAGAAGAAAATAGCCTTACTACTGGGAAGTGAGGAAGGTTTCACTGAGCTTCTGGGTGGCCCTCAGTGGGCGGCGGCGCTGCCCTGCTTTCATCAGGTTCAGAATTTTATTGTGCCCGGGCTGGGGATATAGCTCAGCAGCATAAGCGCCTGCCTGGCAAGTGCGAGGTCCTGAGTTCGATTCCCGGTACCAAAAAAAAAAAAATTATATTGTGCCCTAGTGCAGCGGCGCTGAACCTCAAGTGTGCCACAGCAGGAACGCAGAGCCCTCTGTTAGCACGACAGCCGAGTCAGCCCAGCAGAGGAGCACCAGATAGCAGTTGTTTCTCTAAGCTAAATCCTTAGTTTTCAGGTTTAATTGCAGTGGTGGGACTTTACAATAAATAAGTGGGTTTTGGGTTGCAATTTGGGCACTCAGTCTCTAAAAGGTTCGCCATTATTGCCCTAGTCCGTAGAAGGCTGAGGATATAGCTCAGTGGCATAAGTGCCTGCCTGAGTGCAAGGTCCTGAGTTCAAGTCCTGGTACCAAAAAAAAAAAAAAAAAGAGAGAACCTAGTCCATAGAAGTGGATGTCTTGGCTACAAGACAGAATGTTCGTGGCACACGCCTGTAATCCCAGCCCTCGGGAGGCTGAGGCAGGAGAATCATTGCGAGTTTGAGACCAGCCTGGGCTACAAAGTGAGTCAAGGCCATCCTGAACTGCATAGTGAGACCCTGTCTCAAAAAGACAAAAAAAAAAAAAATCAGAACGTTTCTGTTGTCTGCTGAGTACAGGTCAGTTGCAGCTCCTGTGCAATCCATTCTGTCTCGGTAGGTTAAGGGTAAGGTATACCTCACTACTGCTCAGAAATAAGTCCTAGCCAAGTGTGGTATTCCATGCCTGTAATCCCAATACTCTCAAGAGGCTGAGCCAGGAAGAGTGCAAGTTCAACCCAGCTCAGGCAACTTAGCAAGACTCTGTCTCAAAAAGTTTTTTTTTTGTTGTTGAGACAGGGTCTAACTGCAGTTCAGGCTGCCCTCGAGCTCACTATGTAGATCACTCATGGTGATCCTCCTGCCTCAGCCTCCCAAGTGCCAGAACAACAGGGATGTGCCACCACGCCCAGCTCAAAATATTTTAAAAAGGTCTGGGCATGTAGCTCAGTGCAAAAGCCCTGGATTCAAATCCCAGTATCACAAAAAAAAAAAAAAAAAAAAAAAAAGAATGCAGTCCTGACTTTTTTCCAGTGAGTATGCAGCTGAAAGTTTTTCTTTATTTCCCCCTAGTTTGAAATCTGCAGCTCGTACTTCCCCTCATGGGAAAGATTTATCCCACTTTTACCACCCCCACACACATCCACCGAGGAACTCTCTCTCACATTGGCACCCCTGTCTGTCTGTCTCCCCCTGCTTACCTCCCACACTCCCTCTTCTTCCCTCTGTCTCTGCATGCACACACTCATGAGCACACACAGACTGCAGTGAAGTAAGAGAGAGTGTGAAACCCTGTGGGTGTGGACAGCACTACAGGCAGAGACTCCTTTCTTTACTGGTCTCTCCACTCTGCTTGCTGGGAAAGGGTTCAACTTCTAGGTTGATGGATTTGCATTTTCTTAAGAGAAGTTGTGGGTTCTGGGCCAGGCGTGGTGACACACACCTGTAATCCCAGCACCCGGGAGGCTGAGGCAGGAGAATCGTTGCGAGTTTGAGACCAGCCTGGGCTACAAAGTGAGCTCAAGGCCGGCTGGAACTGTATAGTGAGATCCTGTCTCAAAAAGACAAAACAACAAAAATAAATAAATAAAGTCTAGGTTGATTGATTTGCCTTCTTAAAGAAGTTATGGGTTATTTTCTGGAAACAAACAGTGTCAAGGTTTATCAGACAAAAAACGTCTAAAACAGGGTAGTGCTGATTACCAATAACCTGGCGCCTGACTGGAGGAGCCTCTTCTTGGGCTCTGCTGCAGCACATATGCCGAGGTAGTCCCTGAGATAAGAGCACTGTTCTAGCACCCACCCAAGAGACTCAGTGGGCAGCCAGTTTGACATCTATCTTCCTCAGAACATAACTTTTTTTTTTGAGACAGAGTCTCACTATGTAGCCCAGGCTGGCCTCGACCTCACAGTGATCCTTCTGCCTCAGCCTCCCAGTGCTGGGATTACAGGTGCACCACCATGCCTGGCCAGGCCATAATGTCTTAAGAGAGACATGGGAAGCTAAGGGTGCAGCTCAGAGATAGAGCACTT